TCCCATAGATCTATGAAATTCAACTCAATTCAATTTTCTATGCATGCATGTGTCAGATAATCAATCAGTTAACAATTTAACCTTTCTTGGAGTCTGATCTCCTGAGACCTTCTTCCCTTGTTTCAATCATAACTATCTGTTCCCTGGAGGGTTTCCCATCCTGGACATTCCCTTTGCCTTTCTTCTATGTTGAATCTCCTATTTCCTGGATCCTTTGTGCTCTGTTTTTTGGTTAACTCTGTTATTTTGGTGAGGTACATTCTCTTGTAGTATTCCGAGAAAAGTAAGTATGAGAGATAAATTGTATGAAGCTCTGCTTACCTTATTCTACTTTCAAAATGGATTGATAGTTTAAATGGGTATAGAATTTTATGTTGGAGACCATTTTACTCCTAAGGTATTCTACTTTCTTCTAGCTTCTACTACTGCTGTTTAAAAATCTGATGCCATTATCATTCTCAATTTTTTGTATGTGACTTTTTTTTCCTCTCTGGAAGTTAACATCTTTCAAGATTTTCTATTTTTTTATTTTTTTATTTATTTTTATTTTTATTTTTTTTTAAGATTTTATTTATTTGTGAGAGAGAGAATGAGAGACAGAGAGCATGAGAGGGGGGAGGGTCAGAGGGAGAAGCAGACTCCCTGCTGAGCAGGGAGCCCGATGTGGGACTTGATCCCGGGACTCCAGGATCATGACCCGAGCCGAAGGCAGTCGCTTAACCAACTGAGCCACCCAGGTGCCCCGATTTTCTTTTTTTTTTTTTTTAAAGATTTTATTTATTTATTTGAGACAGAGAATGAAAGAGAGAGAGCACATGAGAGGGGTGAGGGTCAGAGGGAGAAGCAGGCTCCCTGCCGAGCAGGGAGCCCGATGTGGGACTCGATCCCGGGACTCCAGGATCATGACCTGAGCCGAAGGCAGTCGCTTAACCAACTGAGCCACCCAGGCGCCCGCGGATTTTCTATTTTTTTTTAATTTTTTATTGTTATGTTAATCACCATACATTACATCATTAGTTTTTGATGTAGTGTTCCATGATTCATTGTTTGTGCATAACACCCAGTGCTCCATGCAGAACGTGCCCTCTTTAATACCCATCACCAGGCTAACCTATCCCCCCACCCCCCTCCCCTCTAGAACCCTCAGTTTGTTTTTCAGAGTCTATAGTCTCTCATGGTTCGTCTCCCCCTCCGATTTTCCCCCTTCATTCTTCCCCTCCTGCTATCTTCTTCTTCTTCTTTTTTTTTTTTTTTAACATATAATGTATTATTTGTTTCAGAGGTACAGGTCTGTGATCCAACAGTCTTACACAATTCACAGCACTCACCGTAGCACATATCCTCCCCAATGTTTGTCACCCAGCCACCCTGTATACTTTTTAAAAAAAGATTTTATTATATTTGTTTGTCAGAGAGAGAGAGAGCACAAGCAGGGGGAGTGGCAGGCAGGAGGAGAAGCAGGCTCTCCACTGAGCAGGGAGCCTGATGTGGGACTTGATCCCAGGACCCTGGGATCATGACCTGAGCCAAAGGCAGATGCTTAACCAACTGAGCCACCCAGGTGTCCTGGTGGGCTCTTTTTACCAAAACAGTTGTGTCCTTCAGTCCTGGAAAATTTACTTGTAGTATTTCTTTGAAATAATTTTCCCCCATCATTTTTTTCTGTTCTTTCTTTTTGGAATTCCTATTAGGCAGATATTAGGCCTCTTGGATTGATCCTCTACTTTTATTATCTTTCTTTTCCTAGTGTCCATCTCTTCATCCTTTTTGTTGAATATTTTAAGGAAACTAGATATAATATTTAATTTTTAAGAGCTTATTATTGATCTCTGATTATTTTCTTTAAGAAGATAGCAGACTATCTGTCTTCATTCTCTGCAGTCATTAATTATAACTTCCTTAAATTTTTTGTTTTATTTTGTTTTCTTTTTCTTTTTCTAACTTCTTTCTTCCTGTTTGCTTTTGCCTGTATCTTTCAAGTTTCCAGCTGCCTCCAAATGTCTGGTGTCCATTCATATTTAAGAACGAGGCACTAAAAAGGTAATTAGGCTTGGTCTGGTCCTGTCGACTTCTCTGGCTTTCATGTAGGAAAATTTGTTGGCCAGCCAGATTACCCCCAAATGTCATTATTTGTAGGTCTTTTTTTCTTTTCTGATGGTGTTTATTTTCTTAAATCTTCTTGAGGAATATAAAATTAGATAACAGTGTTCTAAAGCTGGAATAAGGGAGAAGGCTGCAGGTCTCACCGTCAGAATACAGTGTTCAGTTAATTCTTCCTGATTTGAGTTTAGCATCTCATGCACACCTTCCTCTGTGCCTGGCGTCCCTGAAATGGAGCCAGTTTGATTCACTCCATCCAGAGAATCTTCACCTATCTCCCAATGGGCTGCAGGAGGTTAATTGCTTCACAGTACAGTGACGGTTTTACTCTTGCCTTGGTGGCACTTGGTGACTCCAGTTTTTAGTCTCTCTTGGGTTCTTTAGGTAAGTTAGTTCATTCCTCATTGGTTTTTCCCTTTGAAGACTTGGGTTTTACTTTACTCTGTCCTGCTAAGAGTGCTCCTCTTTCTGCTTTCTGGATTCATCTGTTGTGGTTCTGATTTACAGATGTCTTCTAGTCTCATAAAAATGGGACTTGTTCCTGTTCCTTTTTCTTGTTCTCCTTGTTCTACAGTGTTTTCCAATAAGAGGTTCCCTTTATGAACACATGGACATGATGTGTTAGAAAATGAGTGTGCAAGTTAGCTAAATTTATCTCAACAGAATCCTTAGAACCAGGGTGATCATATAATTTATTATCTGAACTGGGACACTTTAAAATTCAGCTGGGAGAGGGAAGAAGTTTTCATGCTGAGACAATAGGTATAAACTTGGATTGTTCTGAGAAAACTGGGATATATGATCTCCCTATATAGAACTCAAACTTTCCTTTAATCTCTAGAGTACCAACTTTATCCTAAATATATTTATTTAAATAAACACACACACAAATGTGTGTGTGTGTATATATATATATATTTAATTTTTTAAAAAGTAAAGTATCTCCTGTTAAAATTTATTCTTTAATGTAGTGTGCAGTGTCCTTCATCTTGGTTTCTGGCATGAATCCACAAGGACTGGACTAGACAATGAGCTGAAGGACAGCCATTGTCCTGTGCTCAAAATTGCCCCTCCTTTCCCGACTCATTATTCTCTTTAGCTCAGACTTGTTCCCTTCAACACCTCCTTCCCTTGGAATGGATATGTCTCAGGAGACTCCTTAGTGCTTCTAGCAAACTGACCCTTGGAAGGTTTGGCCCACCAACCATCCTTTCATACCCAGAGGTGTTTGAGTCACAATGAATACAGCTTAGAGTTTTAAGTCTGGACCTCTTTGAGTGTCATGCTTATACTGCTGCCTCGGGATCTGCAGGAAAAAAAGGGATGGCAACCCATTGAATTCACAGATCCTCTTAGGAAGTTTATACCAGGCAGTAGATAGAAGTCACGACCCCATTCCCCTGGTGCATGCGTGCACACACACACGTCATTATATTGGGACCTTGAAGCTCCTCTTTCATTTGTAGCTCCCAGGCCTATATCACCCTTCCTCAATTCAATATAATTCAGTTTATTTAATTCAGATGCATTTCAACATGCATCAGTGCCTACTGAATGTCAGACATTAGGTGGGGACTAAGCACATGAAGGTGAATTCTTGCAATCAGGGATGTTATAGTCTAGCTGGGTATAGATGTAAGAGGGTCAATATTTTTGAGGTCATTCCTTTCATATAGACAGAGAAGGACGAAAGACTCTTCTGGTATAGGAGGACAGAATTTGGGGATAGAGAGAAGAAGCACCCAGAGGGGTTTGGGAAAAACCTAGTGCAGGAAACGTCTTCCTTATTCTACATTCTCAAGTTATAGCCTGAGACAATTGTAAGACCCTTAAAGATGTTCCACTTTCACTGTGGTGCCTGATAACATGGTGCTGGCTGGGGGAAGAATGTAGACTAGAAATGGCTAGAGAAGTGTCCGTAGAGCTAGTCCTGAGGCAGTTACCAGTTCTCCAGGGTCCACACGTAATGTCCAGGGAATCAGAGTTTCCTGAGGGCTTTAGGGTCGGGGGGATGGGTCATGCAAGTGCTAGAAAAGTGATGGGCTGAGGAGGCCTGATGCTGGCATAGGGAGGCCACATTCTCAGCTATGGATGCCATTGGCATGCCCAAAATGAACTGGCAGAATTAGCCACATGGTGGTAGATACCAGCATAGTCCTTAGTGGCCAGACCAGATCAGCCATTCCTAAGAGTATCCGATTCATCACATTCATGGTTGGATCAATACTCAAGCTGGAGATAGGAGACAAGCCATAAGCTGGTAGATAGTATGGTAGGTTTCCATTAGATGGTGGCCACAGAGGGATGGGTTGGAGAACACAGAAGTCACATGAAGTGAGGTATTGGATAGGAGAAGTAGACGGCCTCAAAATAGAGCTGGTTTGGGGGGTGAATGTGGGTCTGTGGTATTGTGACTGGAAGCACCCCCTTTGCTCCCACAGTTGGATGTGGTTTTGGTTTCCTATTTTTTTTTTTTAAAGTAGGTTCTACACACAGCATGGAGCCCAGCGTGGGGCCTGAACCCATGACTCTGAGACCAAGACCTGAGCTGAGATCAGGATTCAGATGCTCAACCGACTGAGCCACCCAGGCGCCCCTGTTTTAGTTTCCTATTACTGCTGCATCAAGCTACCACCAAATTAGTGTATTGTTTTACAGGCCTAGAGGTCAGAAGTTCAAAACGGATCTCACTGGGCTAAAATCAATATGTCGGCAGGGCTGCATTCCTTCTGGAGTTTCTAGGGGAGAATCCCATTTCTTGCCATTTCCAACTTCTAGTGACCAGGCATTTTTGGCTTGCAGTCCCTGCCTCCATCTTTAAAGCCAGGAACATAGGGCCAAATATTTCTCATGATGCCATCTCTCTGGTCTCTCTTCTGCCTCCTTCTTATCTTTTTTTTTTTTCAACCATCAGTGGCATTTTATTTGGGAAGTTTCTATGTATTACATAGATGTTCCTTTCTCTTTACCCCATTAAAAAAAAATCAGAAAGACTTAAAAAACATATAAAATCTCTTAACTAGTTTCTCTAGTCTTAGGTTAAAAAAACTTAAGTGGTGCCTCTCCTTTATGACAATACTGCTTTTTCAGGAGAATTCATAGTCTGTCTTTATGGCTCACTACAGATTTCTACTCCTTCTTGGGGAAAAAATGGTCAATGTTTCTGCTTCCTTTTAATAAATTCCTTTCTGGATTATTACACATTATCATTCCCCACTTGACACCTTCTTAGAAACTTGATTGCTGGATGCATTTTTCATTTGGCAAAAATTCAATGTGGCTTTGCTTGGGATGTCTAAGTGTCAGAAACAGCAGTGTTGATGTTCTGATTTTGAGAGGGAAAGTATATATAGAGATGCATACATTCCTGGAAGAACAAATATAGGAGACTGAAATAGGGTGTGCACAGAGTTAAGAAGGCTGATAGACACTACTTGGTTTTGAATTCTGTGGCTGTCAGACACTGAAGACTGCAGTGTAGGCCAGAATATAAATCTCTGCAGGAAGAAGTTTGGTCAGGCACTATGGAATGACAGAGTCAGCTTCATTTTGTTCTAAGTGTATCAGCACAGACACACGCCAGGAGCGGCAGTGTGCTCACTTGCAATGAGCGGTTCCCCGTGAATGATCATTTATGAGCATTTCTGCAAATGCTCTGTCAACCTAGGCACCGGGGGAAGAGAAAAGAAGCATCCTCTTAAAATATACTTCCATCTCTTACTCACCCAAGCCCCCAGGTCTCCTGAGCTCTGTGACTTGCAAGGCCAAAATGGAGTTTAAGTACGTGTCCTTCTAGATCTGGAAGCTGGTTCACTGGGGCCATCTCCAAAGATCTGGGTGAGCGCAGGGCAGCAGCAAGCCTACCCAGAAGGGTATGCCTTAATGATCTTCACATCGTCCATAGGGCGGTCCTGGGGGTTTGTTTCCACCATTCCTACTCGATTCACCATTCCTATGCCCTGGCACACTTGGCCCAAAATGGTGTGCTTGCCGTCGAGCCACTGGGTGGGGGCTAGGGTTGCGAAAAACTGGCTGCCGTTGGTGTCTGGCTCCGCATTGGCCATGGTGAGAATTCCAGCCCCCGTGAATCTCAGGTCTGGATGAAGTTCATCCTCAAACTGCTTGCCATAGATAGATGCACCACCCCGACCTGTCCCTGTTGGGTCACCTTCCTGGATCATGAAGTCTTTGATGATCCTGTGGAATTTGGTGCCATTGTAGTAACCTCGACGTGCCAATTCAGCAAGATTTTTACAGGTCTTCGGAGCATGCTTCCAGTATAACTCCAGCACAATGATCCCCATCCTGGTCTCCAAGTATATGTTGGGCGGCTGCCAGGAGTCTGGGGGGATTGCCGCCATAGCGCAGCCGACCGAATCCTGCCTGCCTCCTTCTTATCTTACCCTCGTGATTACACTGGGTCTACTCACTAATCCAGGATAATCTCCCCATCTCAAGGTCAACTGATTAGCAACCTTAATTCTATCTACAGCTTTTACTTGCCTTTGCCATGGAACCTAACTTATTGGCGAGTTCTGGGACTTGAACATGGGTATCCTTGTGGGAAGGCACTGTTCTACCTTCTGCAGATGTTCTCCCACAAGGCCACACACATGACAGTAAAGTAGCAGGCACCTGTCTGGCTGATGTCTTTATGGAAGAGGTGGCAATTTAGCTGTGTTTTGAAGGAAAGGTAGAGGTTGGTGAAGTCGGGAGGTGAAGAGAGTGAATTACAGGTAAGGGAGAAATGTGAGTAAAGGATCAGAGTTGGGAATGTGAGGAACAGAATGCAGGAAGTTTGATGACACCAGAAGGTACCTGTGGGGGTAGAGAGAGAGCTGAGATTGGGAAGGATGGTAAGAGACAACTGTTTAGTGCCTTGAAGTTTAGATGGAAGGCGCCAGAGAGACACTGAAAGCTTGCATGGGATCAGGTAAGAAAAGACCACAAAATAACTATGTAAAGATATATGGTCGTTAAATCATTTGGCTCCCCTCACTCAGGCAATCTTTGATTTTATGCTCTTGACTTTTATTGGAATTGTTCAATAAAACTCACTTTGCATGATTTACCTAAATGTAGTTGAAGAAGTTCATTTTGTGGTTTCCCAAAGATGTGGTTGCATGTTATGAATGTTCCCTGCACTGAGTGCTAAAGTTTGTCTCTTGACATTTATGTGTTTTCTAACTCAGGCACCATGAACTGTATCAGATAGTGATTTTTGGTTTGTTTGTGTTTGTTTGGCTTCCATGAAGCTCAGAGCCAAAGACTAAATTGCTAGATGCCTTATTTCTCTTGCTTGTACATTTATATATTTTTATTTATTTATTATTTATTTATTTGTTTATTTAACATTAAAATAGCCTCTTTTTTTTATTATTATGTTATGTTAATCACCATACATTACATCATTAGTTTTTGATGTAGTGTTCCATGATTCATTGTTTGTGGATAACACCCAGTGCTCCATGCAGAACATGCATTTATATATTTTCTAATTCCAAGTGGTCTCCAATTTTTCTTTTATGTCTCTGTGAGGGGTAATGCTAGCTGTTAACCCCAAATATCAGGGGGTTAAACACAATGGATATTTCTGTCTTTCTCACATATAATATTCTTGATTCCAGGTATTCCTGATCCCAAGTCCCTCCAAACAGTGATTTTTAGGAATCCAGGATCCTTCCTTTTTGACACTCCACCCTCATGTAGGCCTACGGAGTGCTCTGGATGCTAGTGGCAGATGAGGAAGAGATGGAGGATTGTGTATGAGCCATACGAGGAAATGGCGCCTGTAACTTCTGCTCATTTCCCACTGACTAGAGTTCAGTCACTTACAGCACCGCCACCTAACAACCAGGGAAGCTGGGAAAGGTAGATAACTTGTGTGCTGGAAGAAAAGGAAACTTATTTGATGAACTAACTAGTCAACCTCTGTTATTATGGACTGAATATTTGTGTACCTACAAAATTCATGTGTTGAAGCCCTAGCTACCAATGTGAGGGTCCTGGGAGGTGGGGCCTTTGGGAGTTAATTATGTTTAGATGAGGTCACGAGGGTGGGGTCCTTATGATAACATTAGAGTCTTTCAAAGAAGAGGCCAGAACATCCCCTCTTGTTCCCTACCATGGGAGGATACAGCAAAAAGATGGTGGCTTGCATGCCAGCGAGAGAGCTTTCACCCAGGACTGGAACCAAATCAGCCAGCACCTTGATCTTTGACTTCCTAGTTGATCCAGAAGTGGGATAAATAAGTTTAATTTTCTGTTGTGTAAGCCACCCATTTAATGGCATTTTGTTATAACATCCTGAGCTGATGCAGACATTTGTCATATCTATCCTCCGATTACCAGGTACCTATTTTGTCCTTCCCACACATGGGAGATACTTTCTCCAAGTGAGGCCATCCAAAACCTCATCCAGTCACGTCTTCAAACTCCAAGTGCAGGATCTCTGGCTGATGATATGCACTTGTCTCCATTAGGTCAGCAGGTGGGTCCTGTAGACCTTCAAAGATAAACTGAAGAGATGATTGTCACACCCCGCCTCCCCCCAACTTCCAACGTGCCATGCACAGCAGGGACCTGATAACTCATGAAAAACTCCCCTTCATCAAAGAGAGAGGTGGGAACTGCATGTGGCTGGTCCAGAGCAAGGAGGAGATTTTGTCAGGGAGGTGGGGTGAGGCCCCTCTGCCTCAAAGTGGGAAGTTTCTTGAATTGACCTGACTCTGATTTGAGTGAAGAATGTCCTTGTTCTATGTTCTATGATCCCCATTCTACCCTCTGTGAGGGTCTTCCAAGTCCCTTTCTTCCACAGCCCTCTGAAGTGGGCTTTGGGAGGAGACCTCTTCTTGGGGGCTGTAGAGCTTCCTGGCCTGGTACCCAATCACATGAATCCGGGCAGTCATAGACTTTTTTGGGGAAAAAAAAAATCTCAAAAACTCAATTCCCTTCTTGTTTCTTTGCTTCCAGGGGGTCCCAAGTACCAGGAACCATTCTCCAAATCCCTTCTAGCCACAGTTATCTGCTCTGGCTTATTTCTTTGCATCCTTGCCTCAATTGGGTGCCATCTGCAAAAATATGCTTTGGTGGGAACGTGCCTCTCCTTAATCTAACCTTTATCCCAAGGCAGGGTCCTGCTCTAAAAGGCAACCTACAGAATGGGAGAAGATATTTGCAAATGACATATCAGATAAAGGATTATACCCAAAATCTATAAAGAACTCATCAAACTCAACATGCAAAAAACAAACAATCCAGTCGAGGACATTAACAGACAATTTCTTCAAAGAAGACATACAAATGGCTAACAGACACATTAAAAAATGGAGAAAAGGTTTGGATGGTCATGCCAGGGAGGTATCTATGGACTAGCCCTGGAACTGGCACACATATTTCTGCTCACGTTTTATTGGCAAAAACTCAGTCATTCCTATTTTCACAGGAGGTTCTACCTAATTGCAAAGGAGGTTGGGAAATGTGGTCTAGTTTATATCCAGTAAGAAGAGAAAATGAGTTTGATAAAGAGTGAGCCAGGCCTTGCCAAGCATCTTTACTTAAATGTCTTGTGCATGCGCTTTAATATTGTGACTTACTTCAGATCCTTTCAGAAACTGGCATGCTATAAATTAATTTTATTTTATTTATTTATTTATTTATTTATTTATTTATTTATTTATTTTTATTCATGAGAGACAGAGCGAGAGAGAAAGGCAGAGGGAGAAGCAGGCTCCCAAGGAGCAGGGAGCCCGATGCGGGACTCGATCCCAGGACCCTGAGATCATGACCTGAGCCGAAGGCAGATGCTTAACCATCTGAGCCACCCAGGCGCCCCTATAAATTAATTTTAAAAGACACACAATCTGCCTTTCTTCTTCCAGAATTTTTTTCCCCTATAAAATATAGGACAGGGAAAAATTATTTCATAGTTTGTTCTCAGTTTGGGAAGTCTATCAATTTGGGTCCATCAGTGGTAATGGTCAGACTATCAGAAGCTTTCTGAGCACCTAATTCCAGGTTAGAGACTTTTTACAGGGTCAGCTTTCTTCTTCCTTTTGAAATGGCCTTATTCTTCCGCATCTCCTTAATCATGGACCAACCTCTCAGCTAGTTTGTTTTGGATTCAAGGGTGAGGCTTTTGTCTATGTACTTTCACTTTGATTAATCACTCTTTCTTGCAATTTCTTCTTAGACTCACTACATGCACCCAGTTAGCCTTATGCCTTTGCTCCTGCTTATCTGGGTTAAAAAAGTGTGAAGGTTCTGGTGTTCCAAGACTACCTGTCCTGGGCACAAAATTTGGCAGGCTGTGGCACTGATGAGGTCTGGTGGATGGCAAGATCCTTGTTCTGGGCTCACATTCACCCTTCCCCTGCACCCTGTCCTATGGTCTGGCTGCCCTTGCAGCACTCAGGGACTACCCAACTGCCTCCTGATGGGCCATCTGTAGGCACATTTGCTTTCTGGCAAATTTCTTTGCATAAGCGGCTTTTAAAAATGATTTGTGTGATTCATCCAGGTTTCTGATTTCAAATCGCATCCTGAATATTTACTGCCCCTCTTTTGTTCACTATTTTCTACAAAACTGGAACCCTTTTATTCCCCCGTCAATATACTCTTCCTAGCCTTTTACATAATAAAAAGCTTGAGTTTCAGCATTAATCATTGTGATTAATGGGATTCCACTAATAACCTTTTTCTACTTGGGAAGGGTCCAATTATGACTATATTTTGTGTTTGGCCTTGGGCCAGTTTCTAACCCAGTGATCCAAGTTTTCATTGGTTTCATGATTCCACAGCATGGACATTAACCTCTCCTAATCTACTTTCTCCTACATATTTCAGGCAGAGCCAGTCCTCCAGACCTTCTGTTGACACATCCTTGGATATAATGAGGCTGGCTGCTTGGGGAGGGAAGGTCTGCCTCTCACACATTCTCAGTATGTTCAGACACAAGCCTATTCAGTGATTCTTGATGTTTTTCCCATAGGTGTTATCAAGCCACATTTAGGCTTCATAATTCTTTGGCTTACCATTCACCCTTATAATTAATAATGGAACCCTGCCAGAAACTTAAAAAAAATAATGCTCTTCAAGGAGAATTTTCAAAGGACTCTTCAGTTTAAACTCTTCAAAAGCTCTGGACTCCTCTCAGACACAGTAGAGGAAATAAAGTAGCCCCTCAGAGACATAATAGGGGAAAAGAACATGGTCTTCAAGGTCAGGATGAGTTGTGAGACCTTGAGAAAATTATTTAACTTCTATGAGTCTCAATTTCCTCATTTGTGAAATGGGACTATGATTATCTTGCAGGAATAGGATGAGGATTAAATTGAATAATGTATCTAAAGAGACTTTTGGTTCCATTTCCAATAATA